ACATAAATTTATACCTACAAGTTACCTAATACTTGTTGGCTTAAATACCAAGTATAAGTGTGTGAGTATTTAGGTAAATAACAAGTCTAAAAAGCTATGCATTTTCAAATCAAATACCAAACATATCTCATACCCGACCTGTACCAGAAAATGCTCACCCCTAATTACTTTTCGTTAGACTTAATTAAGGTGTAATTGAACTTAAGTTAAAAACATGAATTTGATTGCATGTATTTCATAAGGTTAAACACGTGTTTTTCAAAATCATTATTTTAGGAATTTCAATTTTTGATTTCAACTTTCAAATCAAGGCTCTGCATAACTTTCACCATTTCTCATCTTGTCATCTCTCTCAACTAGTGTCGCCGATAAAGTCTCAACTTCTATCATTCATTTACTCATAGTATATCTCCCATTTTTAGTGGTTGATACTCAAACCACTCAACAATCACATCTTGATTTTCCATCTCTAAGTTTTCATCACACAGCATGTAAATGTATAATGGAGGTCTAGGATATAGATCAATAATCTTCTTCCCTCAAATTATAGTCTAATCCTTACCTTGCCTTCCCACATCATCCGGCACCCTTGCACCCTCCAACACCTCCATCCATGTTCCACCCATCCTCCCCCTTCACAACCATGAGCAACGTTATGCAAACCCCACAACCTCTAGAACTTCCTTGCACCATCATGGTGCTTCCAAGTTTTTTTCTTGGGAAACAAACATTAGGAAGCTCAATTGAGGTAAAAATATTAGATACCTTAGGGTTTTCATTTTGCTTATATAAATATGCCGTTAATAATGAGTTTTGGTGAGAGTGAGAAAAGGGAGGCTGAGAATTTAAAAAAAGAAAAAAAAGAAAGAAAGAAAGAAAGAGGTCCAAGAGTTATGTTCTACATTACATTTTTAGATATGAATTCCGTTATAAGGACCCAACATTGTTGATGTGGGATTTATCTAAAAGTGTCACATATACTTTATGTACACTCCCTTTTGGGATTTAACATTCTCAACAAGGTTTGCCCCACCACCATTTAAGAGGTCATACATAGGGACTCCAATACCACATGTAACAACCAAACACACTAAATAAGAATTAATGGGTGTTGACTTTTATACCCAACATCTCTTTCTTATTTTGTTATGTGGGATTTGCTTAAAGGCGTTATATATGAAACAACTTAACCTAAAACCCACTACTAGTCTAACAACTCTTTGCACTAAGGTTTATAGGCTCTCAAAAATTTTAATTCACATTTTTAATAGTGGTTGATCTCCACACCTATATACCATTCACACATAATTCCATTTGGATATGGGATTTAGAAAGTCATAATCTTCCCCTCATCAAGCCTAATCACAACTAGAATAAGACCTACTAGCCCATAAACACAAGATCCACTTTAAGTGATATGAGGTCTACACTTATGAGAGAAGACTTCTTTAAGACCAATTGAAATGACTTAGGTCGAAGCTTGTCTTGGCCTAACAACTTTTTGAATCAAGGTTCATGGACCATTAAAAGTTTAAGTTTAGTTGAGTAGTGGTTAGTTTTCACACTTATATACTAGTCACACTCACACTTTCATCCTAATGTAGGATTCGGGGTGTCATATCTTTTTTCTTTTTATTTACCCATGTAAATTCCTCTTATGAATTTAGAATGAAAAGTTAGACTATTTACCTTTAAGTTGTTGTGTATTTAGATTTGGAATACTTCTAGAAATTGCAATTTCTTTTGGGTTATTTTGTGTTGTTTAAATCTTCATATTCTATTTTTGTTGATTAAAATGTGTGAATTCACCAAGATTGGTGTGACACCCTAGGTAAATCTTATATGAACAAAGCATAGAAGAGATATAGATATATAGGTCAATCCCTATTAACCCCTATTAATGTATTTTAAAACTGTGAGGCTTAATGAGCCAAAGTGAAAAATATCATTAGTGCAGTAAGCCATTACATTACACGTGATACTAGAGCCAAGTTGGCATGACCTATTAAACAATAGAAGGATAAAGTTTAATGAGCACATTGAGTTCCAAATTGAGAACTATTAATTAGCATGCTTTAATGTAAATTAAAAAAAAAATGAATACCATGATTTACTTACTTTATTTTAGGTGAATTCAGTTTAACAAGAATTTAGTTAAACTAGCTATTATAGGTTAATTATCTTACTTTAGTGCATATTATTTTACTCAAGTTTAAAAGTTTTTTTCACATTCTTCTTCTTTCTTACCCTACTCAATTCTCTAAACATTTTTAGACTAACGGCCCATTTGATATGGTAGTTTGGAAGTAATAGTTGGTGATTTTGCCTAAATCGCTAATAATAGTTGTTTAGTAAAGTTATTTATTTTGAAACTGTTGCAAACTATGTGTTTGATAAAACTTTTTCTTTGGCAATTTAGAACTAGTGGATAGCGGATAAGGTTTAAATTGCTAGTGATTTGAAAAATCTACTTAAGGTAGTTTTTTTGTATCAAATTGTTAGCAGATTAAAAAAATTTTATTTTATTAACAAATTTATCCTTTTAAAATTTTTAATTTTTGGCCACGATTTTTAATTAGTGCTTATCTAATTAGTTTTAACTTTATTTTTTTATTTGAATAATATTAAGTAATTAATTATTATATTTTTATTTTTACATTAATTTTTCATAAAAAAATATATTAGTTTAATAAACAAAATTTGCTAATTAGATTAAAAGATTAAAACTTTTTTTACTTTATTTAAAACTAGTATAATTTTTTCTTTATTAAAAATAAAAATTAATATGCGATTACATTATTATAATTTATTTATTTATTATTTTTATAAAATTAATAATTTTAATAGTAAAAATATAAAAAATACACTTAATTATTTTTAAACATATCCTTATCAAGTCATTTAATTTTAAACAATAACTACTAATTATTATATAACCAAATAGTTATATTGATCAAATATGTTATCTATTATTTGTTATTCCTCATCCATTATCCACTAACCACTACACACTATTTGTAACACCTCATATATTTTAGTGAATAAATTAGAAACTAGAGTTCTTTATTGTATAGTTTTAAGCATTAAATTGATTGGATTTAGAGTTTGAGGCTTTTAAGTAGAATTTAGTAGAAGTTGAAGGACTTTAACTCAATTATTCTAATTTTCTTTGCCAAATGGCATTATATCAACCGAGTAAAACAATTTTGTTGACTTGAACTAGAAGCTTCCCAAAACCACCAGTTTCTTTACATCTTTCTTCTTCCAGTCGATCCCTTACGTCTTTCTTTCTCTTTTCTAGCAAAGTATTGTGTTAAAGCTATGTAGGGACGCACTCTCTAGCTGAAATTTTTTGCAATTTTTACTATTAATGCTTTGATTTCTATAGGTAAGTATGAGTTTTAACTATAGATTTAGGTTACAATTTTGGGTAAATTATAAATTTTGCTGTAATATGCTAAAAGTTGGTTTAAATTAGTGAACTTGACTCTAAACTTTATTTAAGAGATTTTGGGTATTAAAATTTTATCTAAGAACTATTTGGATTTTTGGGTATAAGTACAATATATAATTAGAAGTGGGTTTCATTTTGATGCTGGAATTTTATGTGAATTTTACTAGTTAATATCTTATTATTGTTGTTTTGGTGTTTCCCTGTATATTTGTGTGAAGAGTTTTGAAAAATTGCATGATAAAGTAAAATTTGTGAATATTTAATTAGAGTTTGGGTGCTGCCCTTGTCTTGCTACCCTTGATTTGAATTTTGGTTGATTAATTATACATTAATTGAATTGTTAAAATAAGAAATCAATGTCCAATTTTGTTGTGGATGAAGTCAATGAGTTAGCATTAGCAAAAGTATTGCTAATTGCTTTAAAAATGCATAAATGGAATTAATAAATGAATGGAATTATTCCTATAATTATTTTGAATGTATTTTGAATTTTGTTTGACATATGTATGTGTTTGTGACTATAGAGTAAATGGACCTAAGTTGAAAGCTTGGGGTATTCAGTGGACCTAAGTTGAAAGCTTGGGGTATTCAGTGGACCTAAGCTGAAAGCTTAGGGTATTCAATGGACCCTCTGGGGTAATCTAGTGGACTTCTGCACAGTAGGATGAGTGTCGTAATTAGCTCTGATATAAGTGTTACTAGCACACATCAGTGGAGTCTATAACATTGTGTGATTTTTGTTTATGCATTATACTTATGACATCACATTTGTGAACCATTGGATATTCCTTGACAAGTTTGATTGACTCTAAACCATCTCGTGATATTAAATTATTATTTAAATACTAAAATTTATAATATTATGTGGCTTGGTTTAAATTGTCTATGTGTAGGTCTAAGGGTCTTAGAACTCAAGTTTGTAACTTTAACTTAATTTTTACTGGGCTTTTAGCTTATGATATTTCCCCATTGTTTCAGATTTATAGATGGGAGTAGCAGTTATCAGCTTGAGAGCATCAGTATAGGTCCTGTATACTTCTTGTACGTAAAAGCTAAAACCTTAAGGCTTTTGATGTGAAGGCATATTAATGTATTACCAAACAATAATTTTGCTGTTATTATTTTGGAAAGTCTTTGAAAAGCATTTGCTTATGCATTTTTTTGTGTAAATTGCCTTTATATATTTAATCTATAATCAATGCAAAATAGGCTTAGCCTAGTTTATTTTATGACTCTGAGTATTTTGATATTTTCCTTAAGATATTTTTCATTAAATTAGTTTTTCTTTACAAGTAATTGATTTTCTTTCTATAAAATTTTAAATTGATTTGAAAGCAAGTTTTTCTCATAATGAAACATTTTAGATTAGAAGCATTTTTACTTTCGCTACAATCCTTTTTCTATAGAAATTTCCTATTGTTTTTTTATCTTGTGCAGGACATTTCCCTACTTGATAAATCAAAAGGTATACCAAAAGGGGAATATTAGACTATCCGCTATCTGCTACCTACTACTCACTAAATGCTATCTGTTGAATTTTAACTGTTATACTAAATAAGTCCTAAGAAAGTTGTCTTGAGTTAGGTGGCTTAAGTTAAATGACTCTATATGTAGTGTAGATTCATAATTTTATTATTAAGCTATAGCATCTAAAGGGCAATAAGCTATATATTTTTTACTGCACCAGTAAATTTACTCTTTGTAAAGGTGTGAACCACCTTAAAGCAAGTAAGATTTTCACACATACTATAATGATATTTTCTTATTGATATTTCCTCAATAAATTCACTCATTATTATTTTTATTCATTGTATGAGTAAGACATAACAATAACATGAAATGAAGATGGAGAAGAATGTTTGATGAACAACAATTTTAAGGCAATTTACTTTCATATACATTGGTCTACCTAAAATGGTTTTAGGACAAATCAGGGTTGGTAATGTAACTATGCGATTTTATGTAAACGAGTTATGATTGCTATATGGATGGATATTAATTGGTCAGATATATGAAAGAGGTATGAGTTTCTATTTAAATCCAATTATATGCATGCTTGCTTATTGCAATTATCTATCTACATGGCCTTCTTGAATTAGTGTAATGAGCAACTTAACGTTCTAGTCTTTTGAATCAAATGTAACAATTATTGGTGCATTTTTGTATAAATGAGATTCAATTTTCAACAGCTATAAAAGTATAAGCATATCAATTTAGTCTATTTTATAATTGGGAAAGAAGTATTAGAAAGGCATGCACACATGTAGTAACTAGTAATTTGATAGTTTCAAATTGGTAATCGTTTTCCTTTATATGATGTTTAACATATAATTTATGACCAAAAATAGCAAGTAAAATGCTAAGTATATTTAATTGGTCACACTATAACATCTAAATTATTGTCTATTATCATATATTCTTTCAGTTGATTAATTTTATTATAATTGCTCTAATGAATCTTTAGTAAAACTTATGCTAATTTTTCATTAGGAAATATGGAGGAAAAAAATATGGAAAATGGGTTTTATGAAAAATTTGAATGAAAAATTTGAGAATCCAAATGAGAAGGCTAAAAAAGAGAGCTACTCTAGTTGGTCCTTGCAATAAGTTTGGAAAAGATAGACATGAGATTTGGGTTGGTATACTCTAGAAGCAAAAGCTAATTTTTTAAGCTTGCATGAATGATGAGCCAATTGTGGCAATAATATATGAGTGAGCTAATAAGCTCTTATGAAAATTCTTATGAGAAAAAGAGTTTTGTTATAAACTTAATTATTTAAGAAATGCGAAAATTACACATCTTGAAAAAAGGGCATCCCTATATATTATTGGTGATGAGACCTAAAATGACCTAAGCTAAAACTCATCACTAGTTGAAAGTTTAAATTCAAGTTGCTAGTAGTGATTGGTCTACACACACATATACCACTCACAATCATACTTTTTTGTTGATACAAGATTGGGGCACTACAATCTCCCTACTTAAGTGTTGGATGTACTCATCAAGGACACTCAAGTCCATTTCAAACTAGCCGACAATCATGGGATCTACCCCAAGCGATGTGAGAATTCAAAGGTTGAAGCCCAACAATACCACCACTAACCACTCTAAACCCTTGCTGAATAAAATCCACTCCAAGTGGCATGAGATTTCAGAGGGTGAAGCCTAACAATGCCACCACCATCCACTACAAACCCTTATTGAACTAAAGGTTTCACACTTACAAAAAAGAATCATATTGATACCAATTGAAATGATTCGAGCCAAAACCCACCACTAACTTAACAACTTTTTGAGCCAAGGTTTACATGCTCTTAAAAGTGTACACTCAAGTTGTTAGTAGTAATTAATCTCCACACTTATATACCACTTGCAATTGTCATCTTCTTCCAATGTGAGATTAGCAATGATGCCTGATTGAAATTTTGTATAGTGCTCCTTTATACAATAAGGGATAATGGTGTTTAAGTGAGCAAATGTGATATACACTTATTTTGTACAATAAAGGTATAATTGTGAGAAACAAATGATATTTTAAAAGTGTAAGAACCATGATATACTTATATGTTAAGACGTATATTTATGAGACATTATAAATAGATACAATAGTGTCAAAGTTGAAGGGCCTCTAAAAGTTGTTAAAGAATGCCTTATAAGCCAACTAGGTTGGCAAGATAATTTTAAGTATTTGTAATTATGTTCATTATAGTTTTGGCATTATTTATTAAATACTAACTATTATTTTTTTGTATACATTTAATATTGATAAAGTCTTTAGCATGTTTGTTGTATTAAGAAGTAATAGCAGTCATCATATAGTTTTTATTAGTGCAAACTGTATGATGTGATAGTAACATTCTTAAATTGTCCATTAATTGTATATATCATTGGGATAGCCTATCAATTGATATAAAGATTAACACATATGAGACATTGCTAGGTAGCAATACTTCTTATGAAGTCATGTGTTAGATGTGGGTGGCTTGAAGAAGATGAGTACACCAAACTGACTAACTATAAGAACACTACATGCGTGTCTCATTAGTAGTATATTAGGTTACACTACATGTACAAGTGTAAGTAATCCTTTGACTTGAAATAATTATTATTCTATGCAAGGATACATATGCTTTGATATTGTTAAAAACAACATTACAAGAGGTTATAAGTAATATAGTTATTAGGTGCATCATGAAGGTAGAGCCCCCAAGTTTGCCTCTTAAATAGGAGGTAAGCATAGATCCGCCCTTTAAAAAATGCATGGACAAATTATCCTTCTAAATTATCAATAAGACAAATTACTATTATTTAACCTGTGATATCACGTCAGAATTCCATTTGCCACCTAAGCATTTTTTAACAAAAAGTTGACATATAATGATGTTACACATCAAATAATGAGTAATTTGTCTTGATTGATAATTTAAAAAGGCAATTTGTCTCTACATTTTTTGAAGGGGTAGATCTACCCTTGCCCTGCTATTTAAGGGTGGATTTTAGGTTTGGCTATCACAAATCACATGAAAATAATGAATGAATCAAGATAGAATTCATCCATATTGAATTAATAAGAGAAGATATCTTTAGGCTCTTTGATTGAGATGAGATAACTTAAAATCTATGGTCATAGTTGGAATAAAAGAGTTCATTCAATATGATAGTTTATCTTAGGAATCAAAGAACATACATCAAGCTTTAATGATGTTGATATAAAGCATGCATCTTACTTGATTGACATATTAATGATGAACGAGTTGAATTACATAAATGTATCAGTTTAGTTGTGTCATAACTCAAATTTTTATCAAAAAGAAAATATATTTTAATTATGCAATGAATAAATTAAATTTTGCCTTGAAATTGTATTAATTAGCCTTATGTTTTATGTTTTAGGATTCGATTTTTCATTTAAGTTTATTTAAACTTTTCATGAAGAAAAATATATATATATATATAAATCACAAAATTAGTCAAACATCATAAAAATTTATAACATGTCAAAAAAAACACAAAAATATAAAAATATGAATTTTTCTCTTTCTTTAACTAATATATCTTTATTTTGTTTTAGGTGCTATATGTAAAAAGAAAGTTTCAAGAAGAGAATGAAGAAAAGAAATTCAAGAAAAGGGACTCAATTGAAAGAATTTAAAATTCAAGGTCAAATTACAAAAATCATACAAAGGCCTTGAAGTTCAGCCCATTTACACCTCAAATCCATCTCAAACGGCCCAACTTCATCAAAAATAAGGTCAAAAACACTAAACCCAAATTCAGCCCAAACCCAACAATATACCCTAGTTTCCTTTCTCTTTTAACGGAAGGATAAACGAACAGAGAGGAGGGAATAGACGAAAAAAGAGAAGATTTCTCCTCCTTCTCTCTCGATCTTTCGCCTTTCTAAAAAACCCTAGCTGCACAAGCAGAGCGTCTTGGTGGAGGGAGGGTTTCGACTGAAAAAAAAAAAAAAAAAAAAAAAAAAAAATCCCTAAAAAATCTTATACAACTAGTTAGTTTCTTCCAAGCCTCTTTTGATTCCAATCTCATCACCATCTTTTTCGATCATCACTTTAATCACCATCACCCTCACGACTCACCAAGCATCCAAAAAGAAAGAGAAAAGACGAAGAATATCTAGTTTTGGGAAAAAGAACAAGGGACAATAATCAGAGAGTAAGGAATGTTTGAGATCTAGTTTTGAAGGGAAAAAGAAGATCAATTCTACTGGCTGAAGATAAAAAAACAGTGAGAAAAAGGGAGCCTGGACAGCCTATTTGTGAGTCTTTCTTGCTTAGGTAATTTTCTGAAATAGAGGGGTGGGATCCTTCCTATCAAATCTGAATCTACCTTCTAAACATTCCACCATGGGTGTTTCTATTATTTTTGTTGATTTTTGTTGTAATTTTCTTCAGGATTTATGTTTAAGCTTGTATATGGTTGTTGAAAAATGAATGAGAATCAAAGTCTGTTTAGTTTATTTTCTGTCATCTTCTGGTTGGATCTTTATAGATTTATATTCGCATTATAGTCTGTTGAATGCGTTTCTCGCTAGAAATGAAATGCAATTGGAACAAACCCTATTTTCCCGTTTCATGTCTTGTTTGAATTTGATTCATTTGTTTTTCTCCTTTCTACGATCGGATTATATTTTTGGGTCGGGTCAATCCAACCCACCTAAATGGATCAATCCAAAGTAGTTAAAATTGTACTGGCATACAGAAATAGGTTAGTTATATCGAATTTATCGTTATAAATATATATATTTTTATAAAAAAAATAAATATTTTGTAAAAGAAGAAATATTAATTAAATTTTAATATATTTAATTTTTAATATAAAATATTTAAATTTACTTGATTATTTTAAAGTGTCATATAATACATTTTTTATTTTATTTTTATTTAAAAAAATAATTACAAGATATTTGTTAACATAATTATTAATTAAAAATAAATATTAAATATCAATTAATTATTACATTTTATTTTATTAGATAAAAAAATTATATCTATTAAAATTAAATAGGAGTAAATAATTAAAGTATATGGTAATTATAAATTTACATTAATTTTTTATGAGTATGTGATAATTTCTTTTTCGTAGATTTATTTTAGACAAAGAACTTAAAGAACTTATGCAGATATAAGGTTTTAACTTATCAGTATAATAGTATTTTTTATGTTGTAATAATTATTATTTTGGTCATTTTAGACAGTAATAAGTTTTATTTTTTAAAAATAATTTTTAAAAAATTTGATAAATTTAAATAATGGTGTTTAGAACATATAATTATTATATAAAAATTTATTTTAATTCTATTAACTATCTAATTAAAATACTTTACATAATATTAATATTTAAAATAAAATAAAATTTTGTAATTTTTTATATAAATTAATAATAAAAATATTTAATAAATACATTTTAAAGAAAAAATCTTAATATAAATTACTAATTTAGTACCAACTTAACATTGAGATAAGATAAAAAAAAATGCCACCTTATTGTCATATAAGCAATGGACTCTATCAAAAGCACTTTTCTGTTAGGAATTAGCGAGTATCTAATGTTAGCCGTGCAAAAAGGGCTGATTTGCAACCATATAATGAGTTGAGGCGTTGATTTATGTCTATTTTTAGTTAAGAGGCTAATTTGCCACCATTTACACTCAGTACAAGAGCTTATTTGCCTTTTTGCCTTGTTTTTTTTTTTTTTTCAAGATTTGAACTAGTCTAGTTTGGATGTATTGGTCAGTACGCAAAATATGCTTGATATACCAAAATTTTATCGAAATGATTAACATTTGACTGAAACAAATTTTAAATTTATATTATTTTGGATTAATTGAAAATTCAATATGTATCGATCGTATTGACCGATACAAAATAAAATTGATTTCTTTGGATTAATCACTAAAAAAAATAAACTTAAAAAATAATAATAATAAATTGATTATAGTAATTAGTTTAATGTGTGATTAATGAAATTAATAAATTTTAATTAGAGTTAATTAATTATGTTTATTGGTCTTATAATTAGATTTATTTAATTGTCTTGATTAAAGGCTAATAAATGTGATAAATTAATTTTAATTAATGTTGAATTAATTATTTAATTAAACTGATTATTGTGATTAATCAATCGATTTTCAATTCTTTGCTTTCTTTAATCCAAGTCATTTTCAAAGGTCAAAATTATCTCCTTGTCATTTCAATTTCATCCAAAACTCTCATGATCGAGCAATTTTGTCCAGAAATTTTAAAGTCTTTTCAAATCAGTTCTTCATGTTTCAAATTTGACCAAATCAGTCCCTTTAACTTTTCATTTGTGGCCGTTGTGTATGCATGTTCTTGATTTTGTCCATTTCAATCCAAAAGTTTAAAATATTACAATTTTGTCCATCCATTTTTCAAGCTTGCTTATTAAGATCTAAATAAAAAATAATGAATGAGTTGAACTAAAACCCCAATGTTAAAGTATGCAATCGTGTTTATACAAAAGATTGTGAGTTGCATATATGTCCTTCCTCACTCCTAATTAAACCTTCTAAACCCCGATCTTTGCACAAACTCGTTTTCTAGGTGACTTGTCCCACTTCACAATTTGAGCGAGTGGTGACTCCTTCTATATTTTTCACACTTAATTTTTTATTATTTTTCTTTAAGTTTGAAATCTTAAGTGGTCGTCAACAAGTCGAAGCCATTGACATTTCTATTACTTTAGGTGGCCATGATGTGTTACTAGATGTGACTCTTAGTCTATGAGTATTGCTCACTGCAATCATGATAGAAACTTAGAAGGTCATACGCTTTGTGTGCATTTTTATCCTTGAACTTTGGTTTTATGCATATTTTTATCCCTAAACTAGTATTCTTTTTGCACATTTTTAGTCCTTGAAGTTTTGTTTTATGCACATTTAGGTCTTAAAGAAATTGCTAGCTAAACCGATACCGGACGAAATTGATGGAATGACAAAACAAAAAGAGAAATGCATTTTATAATTGAGGGAAAAAAGTGCATTTTCATGATGCGTTACCGATTTATTCTATTTTTTTACTATGAGGAACAATGCTAATTCGGCATAACATGGAAAGGAAAGCCAAGGAGCAACATTGATAAGCAGCAACTAGGAAAAATAAAGTTCAAACAACAAAGGGGTGAATTAATCAACAAAGAAAGAAAAAAGGAGTGGAAGGTAAGAACTTGACTAAAAAAAAGGGAACTCTTAGGGCAAGTGGTTAAGTTACTGTAATTGTAGTGTGAATTTCATGTAAAAAAAATTAAATTATAAGAACTATGAAAAAGGGCAAAATAAGAATATATTTTATTCCGCTTCTTCTCTCTCTAAAAAAAGAGAAAATGAAAAAGAAGCAAACAATCACCCTTTGTCTAATCCACGGAGTGGCAATCTCTTAGGATTCTACCAAATGGTTTATATTAGGAGTCACATTGTTTCATTTTCTCTTTTTTGAATTTTCAAAAAGTGTTTTCCCTTTTTTTAAGGATTTTGCCATCTTCCTTTTAGTTTTTAATGGAGGTTCTGAAACATTCGATTAGTTTATCTAAGGTCCATGTTTATTAATTGTCTATGTCAAAAGCTAATTTTTGGGTAAATTTAAAAAGTGTAACAAAAAAAGAAATCAATCTTTTGAAGTTATTTTCTCAATTTATTATTAAGTTTGATGCTTTCGAGATTGTACAAATATTTGAGATATCAAGTTTTTTTATTATTTTTTTATATTTTGTAAAAGAAATTTTTTAATTTATTTTTTGAGGACATTTTTTTATAAATATATATAATATAAAAATTGCTAAAATATCTTAAAATTTTTAAATATCAGCACTCTTTTTTGCTATTGATTTATTTTTAAGGGTAGTTAAATTTTATGATCTTTTCGAGAAATTTGAATTAAAAATGAGTGTATTTGAATTTAAGGTTATAAAATTAAATATATTATTTATTTTTATAAAAAATAAGTATATTTAAATTTTGATCTAAATATACATATTTTAATTTGTATATTTCAAAAACTAAAATACATTAATTTTAAATATTCTCTCATACTTATGAATTTAATAGAGCATTTCTGCTCATTCTCTACATCTTTCTTGCAATAAATAGCTTCTCTTCGATGAAACTCCAATGATCACATTCAAAATTGTCTATTTTATCTCAAAACTTTGTTCTTTCCTTGTTTTTGTTGCTCTTTTTGTCTAGATCTGTAACACCCCACATGTGAATAATTTAAAAATTAGTGTCCTTTAGTTTATAGTTTTAGGGACTAAATTGATTGAATTTAAAGTTTGGGGGCTTTA